TCCTAAGTGATGACATGTTTAGGGTAATTAGTATGTATTTTTATTGGCTACATGTCCTTCCTAAGTAACATTTCTTCTTAAGTGAGAGTTCTTTTTGACTTCTGCAAATAGATGATCTAGAAAACTGTTCACATTAGCAAAGAAACAGTACACAATACCCACCATTATAAGAAAGGAAAGAGAGAAAGGACAGAGAAAAGAAATGACACATGGAAAGCTTTCAGTGTAAAATTATAGGAAGATAGATGGTAGATATTTTGAATAGTGTTAAAGGTATTAAAAGAAAGGGAAGCATAAAGGAACAAAGTAAATCCACCTAGCTTTCAAAATATTAATGTAAATTGCTACAGTAACATATTAAGGACAAAAAACCATATTTCTTATTATAGATCAGTACCAATATTTGAAATATACATGAGCAGTGTAAAATAAATTATCAAATATAATTTATGAAAATGATTGTGGTTTTTTTTTTTTTTTGAGAGCTTTTTGTCATAGGGCTTGTGTGCTCACCAGACAGAGAGAGACAGGAAGTAAGAAATCACTCTCCCAGGGGGGGATGGCCATGCCACAATCCCTTCTCCTCCATCTCCTCTTGGGATCTTGGGCACACATGTACATGTGCCTGGTGTGAGTTTAAAGTCACCAGGTCTGGGACTCGAACCACTGTCGACTACATGGGAGACCAGCGACATAGCCGTTATGCTAAATGCTGGTCTCTGTCTTTTTCCATCCAAAGAGAATGGATATGGGAGAGACTGCTTGTAAATTAGATAAATATGGAAAAGCATGTGTTAAGACAGTTCTTATTGCCCAGTATATAGTTTAGGTGTGGAAGAAATCATTTTACAAAAAGTCTCTCATTCAGCAGAAGATACACACATGAGATGCACACTATAAATGTAGAGAATGTGAAAAACATTTTTTGAAATCATTTTTATAATAGATTTTAAACATGAAGTTGAAGGTTTCTATTTATGTAAAGAGTAAGAGGAATCCTTATTGCAGTATTAAAATCTAGTTTTTCTTCAGTGAATGCACACAAGGTAAACACCCTATGAACATAATAATCATCCAAAATCCTTTTTCCAGAGGTCAAAAATTATGATAACCAGAGGAAGTACAGAGAAGTAAACCCTTATAATGTGTATAAATTACCAAAGCTTTCAACTGTTGTTATACATGAGACAAGTCTTACTAGAGAGAAAATTTGTAGATAGAACAATATATGAATTTATTGTGTCTGAACACAGCCCTTTCTGACTGTCTGAATATTTATACAGGAGAGAAGCCCTGTGAGTGTAAAGAATGTAAGAAAACATTTTCCCAGAGTTCAGACCTCACTGTACACCAGAGGAGTCACATAGGAGAGAAATCCTATGAAAATAAAATATGTGATAAAATGTTCTACAAGAAGTCACACTTCACTGTGCATGAGACAACTCACACTGGAGGGAAATCCTATGAATGTGGGGAATGTGGAAAATCTTTCAGTTTCAAGTCAGTCTTTAGTAGACATTGGAAAATTCATAGAAGAAAGAAGACCTATGAATGTGAACAATGTAGGAAAATGTTCTCCCGAAAGTCAGTTCTCACTAGGCATTGGAGAATGCACACAGGAGAAAAACCCTATGAATGTGAACAATGTGGGAAAGTGTTCTCCCAGAAGTCACATCTCATTGTGCATCGAAGAACTCACACAGGAGAAAAACCCTATAAATGTGAACAATGTGGGAAAACATTCTCCAGTAAAGGGTACATAACTGTACATAAGAGAACTCACACAGGAAAGAAGCCCTATGAATGTGAACAATGTAGGAAAATGTTCTCCCAGAAGTCACATCTCATTGCACATCAGAGAACTCACACAGGAGAAAAACCCTATGAATGTGAACAATGTGGGAAAACATTCTACAGCAAGCAGGACCTAACTGTACATAAGAGAATACACACAGGAGAGAAGCCCTATGAATGTGAGCAATGTAGGAAAATGTTCTCCCAGAAGTCACATCTCATTGTGCATCAGAGAATTCATACAGGAGAAAAACCCTATGAATGCAAACAATGTGGGAAAACATTCTCCAGCAAGCGGGACCTAACTGTACATAAGAGAACTCACACAGGAGAGAAGCCCTATGAATGTGAACAATGTAGGAAAAGGTTCTTCTGCAAGTCAGTTCTCACTAAGCATTGGAGAATTCACACAGGAGAAAAACCCTATGAATGTGAACAATGTGGGAAAACATTCTACAGCAAGCAGGACCTAACTGTACGTAAGAAAACACACACAGGAGAAAAGCCCTATAAATGTGAACAATGTAGGAAAATGTTCTCCCGGAAGTCAGTTCTCACTAGGCATTGGAGAATGCACAGGAGAAAAACCCTATGAATGTGAACAATGTGGGAAAGTGTTCTCTTCTCCCAGAACAATGTAGGAAAATGTTCTCCCGGAAGTTACATCTCACTGAGCATCAGAGAATTCACACAGGAGAAAAACCTTATAAATCTAAACAATGTGGGAAAACATTCCCCACCAAGGATTACCTAGCTGTACATAAGAGAACGCACACAGGAGAGAAACCCTATGAATGTGAACAATGTAGGAAAAGGTTCTCCTGCAAGTCAGTTCTCACTATGCATTGGAGAACACACACAGGAGAAAAACCCTATGAATGTGAACAATATAGGAAAATGTTCTCCCAGAAGTCACATCTCACTATGCATCAGAGAGAGGATACAGGAGAAAAACCCTATGAATGCAAACAATGTGGGAAAACATTCTCCAGCAAGCGGGACCTAACTGTACATAAGAGAACTCACACAGGAGAGAAGCCCTATGAATGTGAACATTGTGGAAAAATATTCTTCTGGAAATCTGCACTCACTGTACATCTGAGAACTCAACACAGGAGAGCAACCATATGATTGTAAACAATGTAATACATCTGTTTCCCAAAATTCACATCTTACTGTACATCTGAGTACTCACACTGGAAAGAAACAATGTAGGAAGCATGTTACTACTAGAAGGCAGGGCTCATTGTACATCAGAGGACTCCCATAGAAGTGAAACCTTATGTATGTGAAGAATATAGGTTATTTTTCTCTTAGAAAGTAGTAAGCATCTGAAAAGTCACATTGGAGAGAATCTTCATGTATGTACATAGTATAAAAAGTCTTTCACTTATAAGTCGGCCCTCAATGTACATCAAAGAATTTACAAAACAAAAAGCCTGTGAATGTCAGTGTGCCATCAGAAAATTTTCCATGTAATATAAGTTAGTCCTGACTGTATATGAGAGAAAACAGGAGTAAATGCTGTAAATGGGAATAGCGTAGAAAAATGTTTTCAGTGTAATCATTCCATGTTTTACATGAGAGCACTCACAAGGAAGAAAAACCCTGTATGTGTGGGAATTGTAGTAAAACCTTGTTGAAGAAGTCACAACTTACTGTGTATCAAAGAACTCTCAGATCAGACTCAAATGAATGTGAAAAATGGAATCTTATTATTACAATGAAAAGCTTACCATACATCAGTAAACTCAAATGGAATAAAGTCCTCAGTAATGTAAGCTGTGCTATAAATCCTTGAAATATTCAGAAATATGAATTGATCTCTGAAGGTAACAACATTGAACTTTTTTTCAAATTCACGTTTGATTCAGCAACACAGTAGTTAACATTAAGGATGTCATAAAATTCTTGGATGATATCTGTCTACAAAAAGGGAACATTTCAGAAGGCTGATGAATAAGATCTAAGAGTTTCCTAACTACAGGAGAAACACACGTATTTTGGCAAGTTTTTTTTTTTTTTAAACAGCGATTTTTGCTATAGGGCATATGTGTTCTCTGAAGAGACAGAGAGACAGAGTGAGAGAAAGCACAAAACCACCCCTTGCGGGGATGGCTACACCACAATCCCTGCTCCATTCTCCTCTCAGGATCTTGGGCACACATGTACACACACCGGCTTGAGTTTTAAGTCTCTGAGTTTGCAACTTGAACTGCATTTGAATATGTGGGAGGCCAGTGGCATAACTATTACACCATCTGCCACCTCCAGCAAAAGTTTATTTCTATGATCCATGTTTGATGTTTAAAGATGCAACAAAATATAACCACTGATTTTGGCAAAAAGAAAAATAAATATAGAAATTTTTCTAGTTTCCACTTCTGACCATGGCAAGCAAGACAACATAAAAAGTTTTTCAAAACATAGTGGAAACTGAAAGATCAGAGGTCATATATGCATTGAAAATGGTTATAGGTGCTAGAGACAATGTGGAAATAGGACGGGAGAAAGGGGACAGTGTGAGGAAAATAGGCAGGCATATTTGGCATATAGAAATGTATTATAATGTGTTGATGATAATGTGTTTTGTATCCTCAACTGCTCTGGTGGGAAGTATATTCATTTTGGATAAATTTTACTTACCAGCTAAGAGATGTATAGGGATTAAATGTATAAAATAAATTAAAAATAATAAAATATACCATAAAG